AAAATTAGCTCAGTCTAGGGTTTTAGTAAGATTTTATTTGGAGTTTATTCGACAGTCACTCGGGAATCTATTGGGTGGTATGCACTAAGTCGTGTCTAGGTTCGATGGGGCAATTTTACGCGTATCATTATGACTATGCATCTATTTTATGCATTAATTTAGTGTTTAGTTAGTTACATTAGTATCCTCTGTTTGGGTTCATCAAAAGTGTTATATGCATAAAAATCAGCCATGCTCAGTTATTTGTTTGAGTAATTTGTTGCTTTGTTTATTTGGATTTGAGCATGCGTTGATTCCTTATCTCTAGCCCGCTGCTACAGATCTATAGCCCGCTGCTCTTCTCTCTCTTTATTTATCTCTTTAAAATATGTTTATAGCTGGTTTATAGCCTGCTATTGTACCTGCTCTTAAGCTTTATTGTAATTCTAAGGGGGGGTGTTTAGATATAGGGGTGTAAAGTTCTATCGTCTCACATCGGGTATTATATAGAGTGTCATATGGAGTGTTCGGGCACTAATAAAAAAACTAATTATAGAATCTGTCAGTAAACAGCGAGAGGAATTTATTAAGCCTAATTAATTCATTATTAGCAAATGTTTACTGTAGCACCACATTGTTAAATTATGGAGTAATTAGACTTGAAAATTGTTTTAGCTTGTATTTAATATTTTATGTAGGTATTCAAACATTTGATGTGACAAAGGTATAAATTTTTTTTGTTAGGAACTAAAAAGGGCCATAGCATGGAGACCGCTTTGCTTCCATTCCACCAATTTCACTTATGGCAAGTGGTAACTACTCCCATGATGGAACGGCCTGCATTTACCGGGAATAGCGTGCAATAGCCTTTCTGGGTCCGTAGGCCTGGCCTGGAAGGGGCAAGGGCATAGGGATCGAGGCGTAGCGTAGAGTCCACTAGGGATGAAAACGGAGCGGATACGGACGTTTAATGCTCATACTATATTCGTTTTCATATTTTTTACCGGATACGAAAACGAATACGGATAGCTTGAATACGGAAACAAATACGGATTATCTCGAATACGAATAAGAATCGAATATGATCGGACACGAATACGGAAACAAATTTTTCTCGGAACACGAAAACCAACTCAACTTCTAATAGAAATAAATATCAATATATATAATTAGCTCATTTTATATAAAATGAGGTATAATTTATAAATATTTTTTAAAATTTAAATAATATTAATAGTATGGACTAGTGTTAAGAGATAAACTATTATTAAAATCTATAAAGGTATATTGAAGGTTATAGAATTAGAAAGAAATAGGGTATGTCTCATGGGTCCTGCGGATATCCGAATAGCACTGTTCACCGGATATCTGAATTATTATCCGTATTCGACGGAAACCCTGATATCATATTCGTATTCATATCCGGGAGAAAATATCCGTATTCGTATCCATATCCGAAATATCCAAGAATTATCCGATCCGAAAGGTATCTGTATCCGTTTTTCTCTAGAGCGGATGGAAACTATCCGCTCCGTTTTCATCCCTAGAGTCCACCGGTGGCTGGCATAGTGGCACGCAACACACAACCAGGTGCAATATATCCACGCTGCAGAGGAGACAATGCACCGCCGCCCGCGCGTTTGCACACTTGGCACACCACCGCACCTGCACCGGAGGACGCCACCACCGGCCATGCGATCCGCCGCTCCCACCGTCCCACGGATCGATCAGCTTGCCTCCTCGGTATCATCGATCGCGACGTACCGGTGCTCATATACGTACTCCGAGATGTCAGGGAGTACCGGTGCTGTCAGGTCCTTCTAGATCCTTCCATTGTCGTTTTACCGAGCTGGTTAATTTGTTTCTCGAAACGGATATGCCGTTTTCTCTTTTCTAGTATGCCAAACCGCTTCGTGCTACCATGCGCTACTAAAATCCGGTAAAAATGAATGAGTGTGCACTGTTCTCGACGGGACCATTATGCCATTCACGGTGTAAATCTCTCTTATGCGTGGTCTTCAAAATGTGATAGAGTGTCACCTACGATACGATAGAAACACCTTTAACGCCTGTTTGGAAGATTAGTTCAGGGCTAATTTTGAAAGCTAATGTTTAGTTTTGAATTAGTAGGCTAAACATTAGCTTAGGGTGACATGTTTATATCCGTGAGCTAATTGAGAGTTAAAAGGTGGAGAGAGAGTAGACAGAAAGGAGAGAGAGTGCGAGGTAGGGCTGTTTTTTTAATGGTCCATAAACAATTAGCCCCATTAGCATTCTTTGGAGGGACTAATATTTTGAGAGGGGCTAATTCACTTTAGCCCCAAATTAGCCCATCTGTTTGGATTCTTAGGGGCTAATTCAGGGCTAAAAGGTGAGGGCTAATAATTAGCGTATAGAACCAAACAGGGCCCAGCTCTTTCTCCACAATACAAGCTATGGGACCCACAGTAATATTATATTTTCTTTCTTTTTTTGAGAAAGTAATATTCTATTTTCAGTCCTGCTTATTTGCGTTTCAGTCATCCAATTAGTACAAACACCATCATAAAAAAGAAGAATCATATCTTACTATAAAATAAAGTTACAACCCACTAAATCCTAAAACTTAATATGCAAAATACCACATCATCATTCACTAATAATTATTACATCTTAAACATCATGTGAGCATGCTATATTATCTATAATTTTATGATTTATTAAATTTTAGAGCTTTAAAATACAAACATGTTAAATTATCATCCCATATAATTCACATAATATTTTAATATATATCTCCATCATTTTTTATAATATTCTATATACCTATATAGTTTATCCTCATTTGCTTAATATTATTTCTCTTCTCGCATTAAGTCATATCACATTAATTGTTTTTAGCCCTCAGATGATTAATATATGGTCCAAATTATCTCCATCATTTTCTTGTCTTATTAAACCATATCACCTCAATTTTATTTTATGCCTTAGATGATTAATTTATGGTTCAAATTATTTTCCTCCTTTTCTTCTCTTATAATGCCACATCACCTTACTTTTATATTTAAATCATCATTTTATATACTATTTAAATTACCGTAAACCATATCAACTTATGTAAGATTATATCGTCTAGCAATTTTACACATTATTTCTACTTATTGTTATCATTCTAAACTCCCGCAGCAATGCACGGAGTTTTACCTTGTTGTATAGAAACCAGAAACATTTTCCTCAACCTATTTCCCCACCATTGCTCACCTCAAGCATTCGAGCTCCGATTCTCGCCCGCCTAGCGCGTCACCATAGGTGCCAGCTGGTACCTCCAACCTATCCTTCCCCACCACTGAGATGCTGCTTTGCCACTGCTGTGGCCTCTCTCCTCTTCCCACCTTGGCAACGAGCACCGCCACCTCCACAGGCCTCTCCCCTCCCCTTTCTCCAGTCATCACGGTCCCCAACACAACTTAAAAATGATTTTACGGATGCATCCCCTATTTTATCGTAGGCAAGCTAAAACAACATCCGCATGTCAAAAGATTTGGGTGGTTTTTGGTTAAGATGACCCGCATACAAAAATATGCTATTTTCGTAGGCGGTCCTCTTAAGAGTCCCAACTGCAAAAATATATTTTCAGATGTGGAGGTTCCTCTCCGCCCTACCTCCCCCTCACCTCCACTCTTTTATTTCGTTCGTCCCACTCCCAATTCCCTCACCCACTGCTCCGTTCCCCCTCACTTACCCTCTCTTTCCCAATCAGCCGGCCGGCCTCCTCGCCTCTCCGAGCGGCAGTGGCGGGATTCGAGCTTGGAGCAGCAACGGCCTCGGACAGCCACAGGAGCAGTAGTGTTGGCTTCGTGCAGCGGTGGTGACCACGTCACCATGAGCGGTAACCACGATCACAGTGGCAGCGTGCGGTGGATCCACTGTTGGCAGGCTCAGGAAGGATGGATATGCTGCCAGCGGGCTCGGGAAGGACAAATCTGCTGCTAGCAGACTCGGGAAGGACGAATCCGCTGCCTGGCTCGGGAGCGGCTGATCCGTCCTCGCATGTGGCGGAAAGGAGGCCGAAGGACAGCATGTGACCACGGCACCAGGAGCAGCGACCATGATCACGATGGCTGCGCGTGTGGGCTCGGGAGTGACAGATCTGTCGCCGGCGGGCTCAAAAAGGGTGGATCCGCCGCCGCTTGGCTCGAGAATGGCGGATCCACCCTCACGTGCAGTAGAGACAAGGGTGGCGTGGTGACAGTGGAGGCAGAGAAGCCGCGGCAACAGTGGCCTCATTGCGACCTAGCTAGGGCTTTGGTTTTTTTTTTAATCAGACGTCCAACTTGGCCACTTGCAAAAATCGGATCTTTGCAAGCGGCCTTCTTAGGATGGCTATATGCGAAGATGGTATCGCATGCGGTTTTGGCAGTGCACATGCACGTGAAAATACCGATTTTCGCAGACTCCTTGCGCCCGACAAGTGGAGCACTCAATTGTGAAGATCCTTTATGTAGTAATGCAACCTCGTCGTTGGAGGCTGTAGGTGGAGCATGAGAGCATGATATGTTCCTTTTGCCTTGATTGATACCAGGCTTGTTCCTTAAGTATCATGCTGACATCAATATGGTACATAGGTAATAGAATATCTGGTATCTACGGTATCATATCTTATACATGTATCATGCTAACGTCAACACATAAAGTGTTCTATTGGCTGAACGGTATACCGTTCTCTACTCACACTCGAACAATAAACCCAATTGTAAGTACAAATCCGGCACCTATGGTAATCTACGTGTTTCCATATATATATATATATATATGTGTGTGTGTGTGTGTGTGTGTGTGTGTGTGTGTGTGACATGATAATTCATGTTTTCCATTTTCGGAAATAAATTAATTTAGCCATATATACCGCGGATGCACCAACCGAGCACGCATTCCCGCACATTTAATTCCCGGTTTAATTCATACACATGTCTACTATGTACTGGCACCTGCCTATATATATACTGGGATGGCAGCAAAGGGCACACACGTACGCACACCTGTCTTGCGTTGCATTCCGTTGCTTTCTCTTACGAGCACTGCGCAAGAAGCGAGAGCCCAAGAGCAGCTAGCTAGCAATGGGTGTCAAGCTGTTGGCTGACGGCTGCGCCGGCGCCTCGTCGTCGCCTGCGCTGTCGCGGGTGGCGACCTCCGCGGCGCACGGCGAGGGCTCCCCCTACTTCGCCGGGTGGAAGGCCTACGACGAAGACCCCTACGACGCCGCCGCGAACCCGGACGGCGTCATCCAGATGGGCCTCGCCGAGAACCAGGTCTCCATCGACCTCCTCGAGGGCTACCTCCGGGAGCACCCGGAGGCCGCCGCCTGGGGCGTCGCCGGCGACGGCGGCGGCGACAGCTTCAGGGACAATGCGCTGTTCCAGGACTACCATGGCCTCGCCAACTTCAGGAAGGTACGTGACAACCTGACAATTGACAAACTGCTCTGTTTTCTAAGCAGCTTGCTTGTCCACAACTAGCTTGCATGCATGGCTCCCGAGTTTGACTTTTACATCTGGATGATTGCATTTGTTTCTCACTCGTCAACTATCAATCTGATGGTCGTTGACTCGTTGTGAATAATTTTTGAAATATTTGACCAAATTCTTATTTATTGTGTACATCCTGTAAAAATGCTCTGTATTTGGCATGCCGAGTTGGACTTCTACAATTTGATTGCATTTTGTTTCAGCCTCCTCAACTATAATCAGCCAAATAGTTATAAATATTTTTTTGAAGAAAAAATGACAACATTTATACAATAAGTCTTCTACCACCTTGTAAAATTGTAAGTCCAAATTTTATCTACAAAGAGAAATAAAATAAAATAGACTAATTTGGTTATGAATGATACTAACATTGCATTTAGTCATTTTTTGATGCGTAGTGCAGATAAAATTTAGTAATGCATATTTGCGAAATGATACATAATATTGTACTATATGTTACAGATTTTTTTTTTCTAAAACAATACAACATGCATAAGATGGGTGAAAATACACAAAAAAAAAAAACAAATCTCCATGCATGCAGGCGATGGCAAGATTCATGGAGAAGATAATGGGTGGCAAGGCGACGTTCGACCCCGACCGCATCGTCCTCACTGCCGGAGCGACGGCGGCCAACGAGCTCCTCACCTTCATCCTCGCCGACCCCAGAGACGCCCTGCTGATCCCTACCCCTTACTATCCAGGGTAGTCGTTCAACCTATTACTTTTCGTTCCATAATATAATAAATTATACTACTCCATCTAAAAAAACGAATTCCTACATGTATCTAAGTTCGTAGGTAGGATTTGTCTTTTTTTTTGGACGGAGAGGGTAGCTATGAATCTGAATAAGGTTATATCTATGATCATAGCTAGAAAATTATATTTGGAACAAAGGTAGCAGCAATGCATACGACTAGCCAGTTTGTACTCCATCTGTGCCATAATATAAGGAATTTCGGGTGAATGTGACACATCCTAATACAATAAATCTAAACAGATAGTCTGTCCAGATTCATTCTATATTTGTACTAGAATATATCATGGGACGAAGGGAGTTATGTTGTGCCAATAATCCTGTGCACCAGCTCAGTGCTCAGCTTCAGACCCATCAGAGTGGCTGACATGACATCCATGGCGGCTGTGCGCGCGGGTGCCTGTGCATGCAGGTTCGACAGGGACCTGAGGTGGAGGACGGGCGTCAACGTCGTGCCGGTGCACTGCGACAGCGCGAACGGGTTCCAGGTCACGGCCGCCGCGCTCCAGGCGGCGCACGACGAGGCCGCCGCGGCGGGCATGCGCGTCCGCGGCGTCCTGATCACGAACCCGTCCAACCCGCTCGGCACCACGGCGAGGCGCGAGGCGCTCGAGGGCATCCTCGGCTTCGTGGCGCGCAACGACATCCACCTCGTCTCCGACGAGATCTACTCCGGCTCCGTCTTCGCCGCGCCGGACCTCGTCAGCGTGGCGGAGCTCGTCGAGTCGTCGTCCTCGCGCGCACGGCACCGCGGCGAGGACGACGACGGCGACGTCGGCGTCGCCGACCGCGTGCACGTCGTGTACAGCCTGTCCAAGGACCTGGGCCTCCCGGGGTTCCGCGTCGGCGTGGTGTACTCGCGCAACGACGCCGTGGTCGCCGCGGCGCGGCGCATGTCGAGCTTCACCCTCGTGTCGTCGCAGACGCAGAGGACGCTGGCCGCCGTGCTGTCCGACGAGGCGTTCGTCGACGCCTACGTCGCCGCCAACCGGGCGCGCCTCCGGGAGCGGCACGACCACGTCGTGGCGGGGCTGGCCCGCGCCGGCGTGCCGTGCCTGCGCGGCAACGCCGGGCTGTTCGTGTGGATGGACATGCGGCGGCTCCTGCTCGGCGACGGCGGCGACGCCGCGACCTTCGCCGGCGAGCTGAGGCTGTGGGACAGGCTGCTGCGCGAGGTGAAGCTCAACGTCTCGCCGGGCTCGTCGTGCCATTGCTCGGAGCCCGGCTGGTTCAGGGTGTGCTTCGCGAACATGAGCCTGGCCACCCTGGATGTTGCGCTGGAGAGGATAAGCCGCTTCATGGACGCGTGGTGCAAAGCAACAATTGGGAAATTTAACCATTTGCAACCCAACAGATGTGAGGTGAATTATTTTGCACTTGAGAGGTACCAAGGGCATGTGCAACAGTAATCGATTGCTGCCTTAGCCTGCTAATTAGGTAACTTAATTTGTTGATGTGGAGTGAAGAGTGAGGAGAGAAACATTAACTCGATCTTGGCCTAAGATATAAGGATTGATGGGCATTTTGAGGCCAGGGAAATTGTACGAGATTGGGAGAAGAGAGGGAGGGGAATAAAAATTTAATTTAGTGGATTAAGTTTTTTTTTACTGTGAACTGTTTGCTGCTACCTTGGAGGCTGTGTGTGTAGGCTCAACTGTTCTTTTTTTCCAGAATGCAGATGTTTTTTTTTTCGAAATGATTGAATCCACTAAAATACTAGTTTAACTATTTTCTTATTATTTTACCCCTATTTGTGAGGACCGGTTTAGTTCAATCAATTTTGCCACTCTGATGTTAATATAGTTTTCACAAAAGGAGATGAACATCTCCCTCTTCCACGAACTGAGTCTCTAGATACTCGTATTTACAATTAATTATTTATATTTATACAGGTAACAGCGGCTATGTATCTGTAAGCGACTGAGTGCAAGTACTCTGTTTTAAGAACATCTTGATCTCCCACGCAAGCTAAAGTAGCACGCATATGCATGTGGCATGGTAATATAGTTTTTGGCCATGCCATGTGTGAGCTAGTACGATCAAAAAGTTCAGTTTTGAAAAAAAGTTTTGGGGATTTGTTTTTAAAATTATTTAACAAAATGGTTTATGTAACAAATATAACTAGCATGGTGGCCCGCGTAGATTGCGTGGCTAGTATCATTATATTTTCTCTCATATAATAGCATATATGTTTTCTCATTATATTATTAAAATATATTACAATGACAACATGATTTTAAATTTTGCAATAACTTTACGAAACTATTAATGTGTAATATTCATATTGTATTTTATATACGTGTTAGTTATTAATTATTTTTAATATAAAATTTTAGTTATTTGTAAAATATATATATTTCTATATGGACTCTAGACTTGTCTTTTAATATTTCTTTTTTTTAATTCTGAATTTTTATTATTTCTAATTGTATTTCTATGTGGACTCTAAACTCATCTTTCAATATTCTTTAATTTTTAATTTCAAATTTTAGTTACTTCTAAATTGTATTCCTATATTGGCTTTAAACTCTTCTTACCATGTTTTTCTTAATTTTGAATTTTAGTTATTTGTAAATTGTATTTTTATACGAACTCTAAACACTACTTTTCATTTTATTATGTTTATTCTGAATTTTAGTTAGTTTTAAATTCCTATATGGACTCTTTACTCTACTTCTAATATTCCTTATTTTTTAATTCCAAATTTCTTTTTTTTCTTAATTGTATTTCTATATGGACTCTATACTCTACTTCTAATATTCATTATTTTAATTCCGAATTTATATTATTTCCTAATTGTATTTTTATATGGACTCTATACTCTATTTCTACTCTACTTCTAATATTCCTTATTTTTAATTGCAAATTACAGTTATTTCCTAATTTTATTTCTATATCCTCTTCTAATATTCTTTTTTTATTCCGAATTTCAACTATTTATAAATTGTATTTCTATATGAACTCTAGTCTACTCTTCTAATATTCCTTATTTTTTAATTCTGAATTTCAGCTATTTCTAAATTGTATTTGTATATAAACTCATCTTTCAATATTCTTTAATTTTTAATTTCAAATTTCAATTACTTCTAAATTTTATTCATATATTGACTTTAAACTCTTCTTCCCATGTTTTTCTTAATTTCGAATTTTAGTTATTTGAAAATTGTATTTTTATACGGACTCTAAACTCTACTTTTAATTTTATTATGTTTATTCCGAATTTTAGTTAGTTTTAAATTCCTATATGAACTTTATTCTCCACTTCTAACATTCCTTATTTTTTTAATTCCGAATTTCTATTTTTTTTTTCTTAATTGTATTTCTGTATGGACTCTATACTCTACTTCTAATATTCCTTATTTTTAATTCCGAATTTCTATTATTTTCTAATTGTATTCCTGTATGGATTCTATACTCTACTTCTAATATTCCTTATTTTTAATTCCGAATTTCTATTATTTCCTAATTGTATTTCTATATGGACTCTATACTCTACTTCTAATATTCCTTATTTTTTAATTCCGAATTTCAGTTATTTATAAATTATATTTCTATATGGACTCTAGTTTCCTCTCCTAATATTCCTTATTTTTTAATTCCGAATTTTACCTATTTCTAAATTGTATTTCTATATGGACTCTGTTTTTCTTTTTCTCCGATTAATATGAGAATTTCTAGACCGTGAGAGCGAACGTGGAGGCTTATTTTTCTATTCCTTTAATAAGTTAATACATAGATAGATAGATAGATTACCTTGCATGCCATACGGTTGGGGATTATATGTAGATTATCGATTTTGCTATATCTCACTCGAAAGATTTTTTCTTATCTCTCACTCGATTTTCTCACTCAAATTTACAGTGCATTTTCTTGTAAGTTACAGTGTAATTTATGAAACAAACACTGTAACTTTTGTAAGTTACACTGTAATTTTTGAATCTTCACATGTAAATTTTAAATTTTGTATTGGATTTGGTCTTTTTCTTGAGGATATGGTAATTTAATGTTCATTATGGTGTTTCTTAATTGCTTTTTGCTTTTTATTATATCTATCGGATTTTAATATAAAGATTAAAAATCTGTGTGATACGATTATAAAAATTTTTCGAAAGATGTATAGGTACTCCCGTAGATTATATATAGAAATTCAGAATCCGTTCTCTGTCACTCCGTTTGTGCCTTGTGCGGTTGTGCCGCTGAATCTGCAGCTGTCCTGACCCCTACCCCTAGACAGTAGAGTCTCCATTTTCCTAAGCACTGCACTGCACGTGTTATTTTTTATCACCATGCATGTTTGTATTTGTTATTTTAATTTAAATTGAAAATAATTATGGTACATTCACAATTATATTTGTTATTATTTTTGTTAAAATTTATAGAAGTTGAATTTTAACTTACATATTTATGAAATGATATATTTTATATTAATTTATCTTATTAACTTTTTTTTTAAAAAAATATAACTACTTAGATGACATACACGAAACGAGAAGATATATTCTCAGAGAGATTAAACACTTTCCGCTTTGGATGCACGATACGGCAACCGATTTATAGTTTTATACCATGATAATTTCCGTCTATATACAGTAGTAATAAATAACTAGTCTCCCTACGAATTTCAACGTACATCTCGGCGTATCGTTACAGTTCGTGGTGGAAGGACACGTCGACGTCAGCCTCCGCCGTCGTCGTCTCAGCCGTGTCGTTGTCCCTCTTGTTGCAGCCCCAGCGGCAGCTCCACGCGCACCGGGAGTTGAACGACTGCAGCCGCCTGGAGTGCGCCGCCACGATCCCGGCGGTGGCCGCCGCCCGGGGCAGCACGACGGCGTAGCCGTCGTCCATGTAATCCGTGCCCTCCGGGAACACCTGCCACAGCAGCGCCCCCGCGCCGCCGCCGCCGCGCCGCGTCGACCGCAGCATCGCGCCATACACCGCCTCGATGAACGCGTCCCTCGACGTCGCGTTGAACGCCGCCCGGGCGCCCCTCGTGGACACCCCGAACTCCGCGAACAGCACCGGCATGCCGCCGAGCGCGCCCTCGGCGTCCGCGATGTGCGCCTCCACCCACGACGTCGCGAACCTCAGCTGCGCCTCCTTCGTCGCGCCCGCCGGCAGCCTGTCAAGAATGTCGTTAGAGCTGCGACATCTCTGCGTCTCCGGCCGCCGCGGCGGCTGGCTGTTAGCCTGTTGCCGCTTACCAAGTGTCCGGGTAGACGTGGACGGAGGCGAAGTCGACGCCGAGGACGCGGTGGTTGCGGACGAAGTCGGCGCCGGCGAGGGCGACGTCGGCGTTGGGGTTCACCCGGAGGCGCGCCGGCGGCGAGGACGGGCCGTAGAACCCCTCGGCGCCGACGCCGAGCAGGTGCGCCGGGTCGACGGACTTGACGTGGAACGCCATCTCCGCGATCCACGCCTGGAGCGTGTCGCCGGTGGGGTCGGAGGCGCAGCGCGGCTCGTTCATGAGCTCCCACGCCATGATGGTCGGGTCGTCCCTGTACGCCACGCCCGTGTACGCGTTCACCCTCGTCAGCACCGCCGTGACGTGGCTCTTGAAGTAGCCCCTCACGGTCTCGTCGGAGAAGAAGGCGTCGGCGCCGGCGCCGGCGGCGGCGGCCTGCGCCCACCGCACGTACTGCGCCTTGCCGCCGTAGTCGTCCCAGTTGTTGATCAGCGGAAGAATCAGCCTGATCTTGTGCTTCCGCGCCTCGCTCACCACGAAATCCAGGGCCTGCATGCGCGTACGCAGGTGGGGAATTATTATTATTTTTGAACGGAAATACCTGGAGAATTAATTAATCAATTGAATATGAAATGCAAGCAATCGATCGATCACTTCGATAGATCCTTTCAAAACGAAAATGACACGTATGTATTATGTATATGTTTTTACGCGATCGATGCTAATTATTGGGTGAATTGCGTCTCAGTTTAGAGGAGAGATGCCTGTCGTCCAACCCAACTATGATGGAATCGAATGGAAATTGATGCTTGTGGAGATGTTTGAAGCCAGCAGGTGTCTTATCTGCAAGCACAATGATTGTTTATTCTGCATGGTAAAATAGCACAATGCATGCTACATGGCATTCTTAACGGTTTCTGAATTTGTGGACACCAAAGAGTTGTCCCAGGATACTCATAGTGTGGTCAGTTCAACGATAGGATTGTAAAGCTCAATCCAGTGTGGTCAGGAGTACTTTTGTATTGATCACCATTAGTTAGTAAATGTACAAATCATGTAATCTAGCTATCTATCATGTGAATATATATCTCAATCAAGGATTTAAATAAACGCATCATTAGGTATAGGCACAGCTAATTGATCAATCGACGTTGACTTCCACGTGTTAAATAATATTTGGTTTACGGTAAATGAAATACAGGTATTCAAATGTGTGATCTAAACAATATACAGTTCAATCAAAAAGAAAACGAAATATTTGCGAGCTTGGGTGGCAGCTGGCTAGCTACGTCATCGTCGAGCTCGCTCACCTTGAAGACCTCCTCGTCGTAGACTCCGGGTGACTTCTGGAGCGCCCGCCACCCGCCGTCGTTGAACGCCCACGTCCGGCAAACCGTGAGCCCGACCGCCGCCGCCTGCCGGAACACCTCGGTGACCTTCCCCCTCGTCGACGGGTCGACGGCGAGGACCATCAGCCAGTACGTGTTGAACCCGTTCACGTAGAACGGCCGGCCGCCGCCGACGACGAACTGCGCGCCCCTCGTCCTCACCATCCCCCACTCGCCGCCGCCGTCGACCACCTCGCTGCTGCTCGGACCATCGCCGTCGTCGCCGTCAACGACGATGTCGGTGAGGCGATTACAGCGCCACTCCCAGTATGATGACTCGTGTAGAACGGCGATCGCTGCGGCCATGGCGAGAGCTCCGAGGAGGAAGAAGAAGATGCAGTGGAGCAGGGATGCCTTCCTCCTCGCTTCTTCCTCCCTGTACGACGTCTCCATGGCCGCCGCCGCCGCCGGTGGTGAAGCTCCACATGGCTGCAATTTATACCGGAGGGAGGCATGGGAGCTGAGCTTGATGAGATCCATGTACGTACAGTCAGTGAGCAAGACAGGGTCGTCTTGGCTTGGAAGCAACAGAGAGAGAGAGAGAGAGAGAGAGATCATGGATGCAGATAGATGGTGGTGGCTATTACTATCATGGACATTGCTGAGACTGATACACTTGTTTTAGGTTAAGGTTTTAAGCAAAAGGAATCGTTAAGATGTCGATTTGGGAGGGAAGAGATTGAGATGATGGATCATGGATTAGATTTGGCGGTGCTGGGGAAGCGGCAACGCAAAGCGTACGTGGCTGCACGGGAGAAAATCGACGCGTTCTTGTTGGGAATGTGGGCCTTTGTGCTTCTGTCTTTTGTGCGTTAGTTGGGCCACGCCCTTTTCGTAAACAGGCCTTGCTGGGCTGGATTTTGATGTGCAGTTCGGGTTTTGCTTGCACGTAACCCCCTCATAATGGCTCACTCTCTTCCCCTCAAAATGATTCACTGAACTGGTGTAAAAAAAATGATACACTGAACTTATTCTGAAAAAATAAATTATTTTAGTCATCTGAACTATTTCATTAAAACACTTAACCCTGTAAACTATTTCTTTTACTTATTTTGTACAGGGCCAGTCCTAAGGCAGTGCGGTCAGGACAACTGCCATGAGCTCCTAAGGCCCTGCAGGCTGGTAGTAGTAGTATAGGTCAGTGCAGCTTCCATTCAGTTTTAGATCTCGATGTTATTGATTCCAACTTATACAGATACTCTCTCCATCTATTTTTGATAGACATATTTCTAAATCTGAAAATTTATTTTTGATAGGCATATTTCAATCTAACCACCTATCATCTTAATGACTTTCTCGGATTTAATGCGTAACTCTCCATTCTTTTACACAAGATTGGTTATATGGGCATCGAGAAATATAAATATTAATAAATCACTTGTTTACGATGAATAACTAGTAGCATGTTTAAATAGATGATAAGTAGAATTATTTATCATTGGTCATTGTGCTAAGATGAAATATTACTATCAAAAGTAAATAGAGGGAGTAGTGATTAAAAACTCTACTGGAAGTATATCTGCCATCCCACACAAGTTTAAATTTAAGCATACTTTCATAAATGGAAGTATCTGTCACCTCAGGTAGTATACCTTAAAAAAAGAAGTGCTGCAGAATTTCGCAATGCAATCTCGAAGTTGAGTAAGCAGCATCCTAATTCCTGAAGTATGTCTCCACAACTACAAAACTTTGCCATCATGCAGTATTAACAATTAAGCTAGATGTTGCTTCGGTGACAGCGCAAGTAGGTTGAATATTTATGAGGAAGATTTGGACTTGGAAAGTAACTTCAATAATAAGGCTATGTCTAGTTCCCAACTTTTTCTTCAAACTTCTAACTTTTCCATCACATCAAAACTTTTTTACACATATAAAACTTCCAACTTTTCCATCACATCGTTTCAATTTTAATCAAATTTTCAATTTTAGCGTGAACTAAACACACCCTATAAGGCTATAACTCTAATTATCATTCATATGTTCAAATTGTCAAGGAAAATGACACTAAATCGAATGTTTTACCTGCTTGACGATCGGTGAGAGTATTCAACCTATAAGCCTGAAGCCTGAAGAAGATAAGCAGACCTTTTTTTTTTTTTGGCGGGGAAGATAAGCACAATACTGCAGTGAATTTACAACCGAGATGTATCAAGGAAACAAAACTGAATGCAAGAGAAATTGTATTTTATCCTAAGGGGGGTTTGAGCCACATGCAAAGACAGTGGATCAAATTCAAGTTGCAATTGATTGGGCCAGCATGGGCCTAAATGGCTAGTGAGAGCTATATCAAATTGGATTGGATTTTTCTCCAGTAGTATTCAGTAGTCTGCCCTCAGCTTATATACTTCCTGATTTGGGCATTCTGTGTTCTTAGAGATGGCATTGTATGGGCCAAAACCTTTCCTTGTGGCTGCATCAAGCACGCCCATTATTCCCTTTCAACCTACCATTTCATTTTGTCATATGTAATTAGCTAATTATGTAGTACCGAAGGTGTTTAAAAGGCATTACTAATTCCTGCAAACCTGTTCGAGTGAAGCAACGAAGAACTTAGGACTAGACCACGTTATTTGCATTTACTGCGTTATACTGATGAAGAGGAAATTTCAGAGAAACATAGACTAATATGCAGGGAAAAATGAGTGTCTAATCTGAAACTCTGAATCCCAGCACATGTAAAATCTCGTCTCTGAAACTCTGATGAATAGGAGTTTATTACAGTTTCGAATTCATCCTTCATATGCTCTTGTTTCTTACCTCGTCTATGAAACTCAATTACATCGTGTTTGCAACAATTCTACTCTATCTGCAATTCATTAAAATCCAAGAAGATCAGAGGAGCCTGAGCTATCAATCCCAATAGACTACCCTAAACCAAATTTGTCTACGGATTAATTGACCCAAGTTGGTCATGAAAGTTTCCTATTGTTAGCCAGCCAGGCAGGCAGTCTACGCAAGTAGCACCAAGACGTCAAGGTCACCTATTTATACAATTGTATAGAAACAAAACATCAAATTCTTCAATTTGATTCTTCAGAGAAAGGTTGATGGGGACACCATTTGATATTGACAAGGCTGGGGACTCGTAAAATGTCATTTAGCTGACCTTGACTCGCATCGTTTTGATCCGAGGACCAATGTGTTACTTTTAGTAAATCACTTAAATGAATGTTCATCTCCCTTCTCCCACTCATGCATTAACCTATACCATTATGTTATTTCGGTGAAGTCTATTTCGGTGGTATTGGTGTTTTGGTTGCAATTGGTGTTTTTCTGGTGTTTAGTGTACCTATAACGATTGATCTATGATGATGTTTTCAGTGTGAACCGTTTTTTTAGATCGATGTGTATCTCTTCTTTATCAATGAAATGGGACACAGCTTCTGCCTTTGGTTTTTTGTTTTTCTGCTCTTTTTTTAAAAAAAACACTAAGTCTATCGAAACATTTGTCTTTTGCAAATCTGCTTCACTCTGTACTGGGCATTTGATCTTATATTCATGATGGTATATCCAATCAACCGGTACCATCTCAATTTATAGAAGTGCAAGTTTTGCATGAGAACAAAAAAAAACTAGAATATTAGGGAAGGACATAATATCAAATAATTAGGAGGGGTGAGGCTTTGAACCCAGGTCGTCTAACCCTTGCATGAGAACAAGGGTCCAACAACTAAAAACCTCGTGGTAAGGCATTTAAGGGCCATTTGAATCAAAAGATTTATGTAATAATTTCATTAGATTTAAATCCTATAGGAAATTTTCCTATTTGTTTCTTTGATTCAAAGGATTGAAGCTTTTCAAATCCTATGAAATTACTATGGAATGACACATTGTATGTTGATTTTGAAGGAAATTTAGCAATAGTTCCAACCTTTTGGAAAATTGCATTTGAGTATATCTCTCTCATCTGATTTCTAAGTTTTCCCGCACTCCAATCAAACGTCCCTTCCTGTGTTTTTCCCGTGTTTTGCAATCCACTGTTTTACACTTCAATTCCTATCAGAATCCTGTGTTTTTTCTATTTCTCCATTTTTTTAACCCTGCGATTCAAAGAGTCCTTTATGTTGTTACACGACTTCATTTATCGGCATTCATGACCTACTTTAGGAGTACATCTTTTTTAATTAAACATGTGAGGAGAGGATACTCTAGCACATATCTTTGGCTGCCTTGTTCGTAAGTGTGTTGATTTGGTTGATCTTCAGTGCCTTTCGGGAGAAGTAATTTAAAAAAAATAAATTAGTTTGATTTTAAAACCTTCTGTACATAACTTTCTTTTTTTAAAAAATAAATCGTACAGTACAGTTCCTATGCTTAGGAAACGTGCCAACGATAATCCAGTATCTACAGAACAGGGCTTAACCGGAAGAGAAAAGTACCAGCCATGAAAACGAAAAACAATTTTACTTTAGCAAAATTGGATCTATAGCACTGAAAGCTCTCAATTTTGAGAGAAGTCCATTCGGATTCCAGACATGCATGCCCGTGACAACACAGCAAAAGCATTGGCACACACAATGAGCCAAAAACAAGAGCCACACGAACCTGGTGCCTACACATTGACCGAGTCTGAATTCTCGATTCCCATCCCACGTTGATTAATTATTCTATGGCCGTCAAAGTTTCCCCGTAGAAAACGTGGCCGTGCGGGAACACGACAGTGACTTGCATCGCCGCCGGCAGCCTAATCAACTCTTAATCAGAATTAAAGTGTGCAATTAATGGTGAAGTACACGGGGCTGGCTATAGCTTAGTGTGCTTTGAGTTAGTTTATAAACAACCTGCTTATCGTGGCCGTACGTCGTTTCCGACTGATTGGCCACCAATTGTGTTCCATTTGGCCGGTCGGCTCGATTATATAAGCCGGAACAACCCTCCGCTTCGTATAAATTATTACGTGAGTTCAATTAACAGTCACCACGCCCACAAACTGGAGAGATATTTCATTTGTCAATAGAGTAGTACACATATCAGCATATCGCATATGTCCTGCTCACAACAGGCGCTCTCACATGCATGCTTGTCTATCCTGTTTCGGTCCTTCCTATCACTAGCCTACTGCCCTGTTCTCAAGTAAAGAGAATAAGGGGTTGTTTAGATTAGTGCCATTTCAAACCATATTATTTTTTCGTAAAGTTGTCAAATATATGCATCCATTTAATTTTTTTTGTTGAACTCTTGTAAATACATAATAAATCATGTAAAAACTTGGTAATATTGTCAAATTGCCAAAATTTAGTAATGTTTATTTTTGCTACAATCTAAACAGGCCCTAAATAAATAAATATAATATGTTGAGCAGATATTATCATATTAAGACGCTCACTGGAAGAAATTATTCTAAACTCTCGAGAGGACATCCTTTTGTTCTTTGCATATTATCTAAATAGTTATGAAAAATTTTGAAAAAATGATAAGATAGATTAATATGTGATAAATCACTTCAGAAACATTAACTTCTACAAGTTGCAATGAAAAAATAAAATTGACTGTGAATATATGTTAACTAGCTACAATTTATAGAAGTTGAATTTTATTTGCACATTTGTGGAGTGATCTATCACATATTAATCTATCTTGTTGAATATTTTCAAAAAAAAATATAACCATTTGGATGACATA